AGCAACTAACTCTGCTCTAATATTGATGGCATTTTCTATCACCCAGATCATTTCCTGAACTTTCAAGACTTGTGTTTGTCACATGATGTCAAAAATTTTCTTTAGTCAAAAACAGTAACAATATCTAAATTTAAAGAAATATATAACATACAACAATGATAAAAATTCTATTAGGGGAGATTGGTTGTGACTTATTGTTGTAAATATACATGTACAGTGTTTTAGATTTGAAAATCATAGGAGAGTAATGAATTGCTTTCTTGATATTATGTCAATGAAGAGTACGGGTTGAGTGACAAATTTTAAGTTAAAGTCCTGCTTATGACATAGGTATAATAAATTAATACATATGTGCTTTTACACTTCACAATTAACCTGTCTTTACTTTTATTGTCCCACTAAAAGATTCATAATACTTTTAAACATGTATAAATACCATAAGATCTGCTTGCATTAGCCAAAATCATGTAACAGCTTTATGGAGGTAGTAATATACTCATACACGTACTTAAAAATTACATTATGAATAAAGCTATACTAATAGGTACAAACATAAAAATTAGACTGGTTTCAAATGAAGTTGTATTATTTATTCAAACAAAACATAAAATGATTATCATTATAATAGAAACAAACTAAACATGATCAGATCAGCACAAATAGCAATAAGGTTTAGGCTACCACCTTGTTTCAAAAGTCGTGTGATTTCAAAAGCAGTGTTGAAATGCACATTTTTAGTAAACAAATACTTTATTTCCTAGTTGCATTCGGATATGATCATGATGTGAATATGTAAAATCTGTGATTTTCACATAAACTTAAATTAGTATATCCATTGTTGTGAGGAACTGGATGAATCATGAACCTAAACTTGAAATAAGGAGCATGGTTGCTGCAGAAATCAAAGGTCTGCACAAGTTTGGTTAAACTTGTATTGTTGTTAGTTATTTTATGTATATTCTCATTCACACAAAATTTTGTTTTACTGGCTGAAGAAAAACTTTTTGTACAGGAACCTTCAGTTCTAAAATTTTTCAGTTGGAAAATGTATCTTCATGTCGAACACAGATTCAGTGTCTTGTTCCTCTTTGATAATGTATATATAAAGATGAAAAACCACCTGTCTGTCATGCCGTTGCAGTACCGATTGACAAGCAACTTTCACGAAAAGACAGTGCTTTGTCCCATGACAAATAAGTTTGTCTTTTTAAAATTCTTCCAGCCATATGTAAATAGAATGGATGATGCTCCTATTTGAGCATATAATTAGATTTGAGGGTAGGTTGGTAGAGATCGTGATGAGTAATAAAACCAAATCAGGATTATGCGTGCCCCATGCTTGGTATTGCTGGCACACAAAAGTAATAATCGTTGGCTGAAATTCCCCATTACATTTGCTTGGTTGTCAAGGGGACACATTCATACAATAGCATCAAATTTTGTCCAATTGGAACTTTCGGTGACAACTCTATAATAATCCACATGTTTTACCCGCAGAACATTTCAATTTTGAGAATGCCCAAATTAAACAGAGCTTCTTCAGCTCAACAAAGCCAAAACCAGGAAAACAGTCCAAAGAGTAGACCCCAAAATTCATAATAAAATTCACTGCCTTTACCATCACAATTAATAATTTGCAGGGTCATACAGTTGACCAAGTAAGAATGTCTTTGAGAATCAGTTTCCATGTTTCAATATATAAGGATTTACCAAGAAGAAAATTTGAACATAACTCAAAAAATATACAGAAGTCAAAATGCTAATCAAGCAATACTTAAAGGAGATGACCAAATATACATAAATAAATGTTTTTTTTTGTGAACAATACTAGAAATAGGATAGTAATTCTCCATACATATATTGTTAATAGATTATAATTAATTTTTATAAAACACGTTCATAAAACATTTATCTGGATATAATTTTGGGAAGAAAAATTAATCATTATTTCCCATTATATGCATTATTGTTTACAAGTTGTATCTCAATGTACCAAATGGTATTCTGTCATCTATAGTTTTTTATCTTTTGTATACTCTTTGCAGTATTTTCTTTTAGTTATCATAAAAGAAAATCATTCAGCTAATATCTTTTCTTCTTTATTTTAATTTTATTTTTTATTGGAAGATATTTAAAAATATTAATGGTAATGCTTTTTACTTTTTTTTGTCTTATGGGAATAAAAAGGGTTGCTAAGCAATGCTCCAGATAATTGTTTTATCTAAGGAGTAATCACTCCCAGAATTTTGTCAGCAGGAGTAATTTTAATTTTTTTACAAGGTGCAGCAGTAACATTTTGTAAATTATTCTATTTCAAAAGGTGAAATTTGGCACAGGATTAATTTCGCAAATTAAATCACCAGATGTAGTAATAATAAACACAAATAATGACATTACAACTTTTTCTTTTATTCGTTTACACAAAATTGGATCATTTACGAGTGCACCAATAGGAACTTCTGGCTGTTAGATAGTGCTTATTTTTGCAGCTCTACCATGTTAACTGCAGATATCGTACAGAACTGCAGAGACCTATAAGAATGCATCTATTGATTACTGTTCCATCGTTAAAGCTTCCGGAGCCGTATTTATTTTTCCATGTCAGTAAAACAACTTCTATTTTTTTAAGGCTGTATATGGCCAATTTTTGGTTGGAAATTATGCTGGTACACCCTTTGGCTAAGGTAAACATTCAATAAGTTCATATTTTCAATTAATTTGTATTAAAATACCTGATAGTTATTCTTTGATAGATTGTTTTGGCAAAGTATTCATGATGAAACTTTGTAGAATGGATGGCAACTGCCTATTGTAGAGACACAAGTGTAGAGGACAACCTTTCAAAAGTCTTCTGCCTTTCATCTTCAGGTCCAAGGCA